TGCACCATTTTGCAGTCCCACCAACAGTGTAGGAGGGTTCCTTTTTCTCCCCAACTTTGCCAGCATTTATCATTCTGTCTTTTTACAATAGCCAAGAGTTAGAACCAGCCCAAATGTCCATCATCAGATGAGTGGATATGGAAAATGTGGTATATCTACACAATGGAATACTACTCAGCTATAAAAAAGAATGAAATACTCCCATTTGCAACGACATGGATGGACCCAGAGAGAAGTATATTAAGTGAAATAAGTCAGGCACAGAAAGGGAAATACCTGGTTTTCTCACTTGTTTGTGGGAGCTAAAAATAAATAAATAAATATACAAACAAACGGGGGGGTGGGGAAGAAGACACAACAATTACAATTCCTTGAACTTGTTAAGACAAGTGAACAGACATGATGGGGGGAGGTGGGAGAGGGAGGGGGAGGGAGGAATCAGTAAAGAGACATGAAAATCAACTACATTGTATATTGATTAAATAAATAAATAAATAAATAAATAAAAGCAAATCACATCATGTCACACACAGTTCTCTCCGTGAATGCCCCAGTGAAAGTGGAATGAAATCCAATGACCTCTCCTGCTGGCCCGGCACCTGCCTGCTTCTCTGACTTCTGCTCCACTGAGCTCTATCCCCATGGCTTGGTCCACCTCAGTGCCTTTGCATTTGTTATTCCCTCCCCTTGATATGCTCTTCTCCTGAGTGTTTGTATCACTGAATTCCTTTTACAGGGATTGTGTGGACTGGTTCTTGACTACCTCTTAATCCCCATCTCCTTCACATTTCTTCCTCCCTAAGCCCAGCTTCAAAGATGTACCCATTATCTGTAATTTTCTTCTCATCCGGGGGCTTTGCACTTGTTCTTCTCTCTCCTTGAAATCCTCCTTTCCTGGGCCGGCCCGGTGGCGCACTGCTACAGTGCACCGCTTGGGAGCACGGTGGCACTCCCACCGAGGGTTCGGATCCCACATACAGACCGGTTCCCGCTCACTGGCTGAGCGAGGTGCGGGCGCAACACCAAGAGTTGTGATCCCGTTGCCGGTCCTGGTCCGGTACGGGCACGACACTGAGGGTTGCGATCCGTTACCGGACACGAAAAAAGACAAAAAGAAGAAAAAAAAAAATCCTCCTTTCCTGAATGTTTGTATCACTGTTTCCCTCTCTTCCTGCAAATCCAGCTAAGAAGTTAAGATACCCCTCCTCCTCAGAGAGTCCTTTTCCAATGACCTTACTTAAAGCAGCTGCCCCAAACACATACACACACTGGTTACTATGACATCATCTGGGTTTTATAAAAGCACATCTGAAGTCGTTTTGTTTATTTGTTGATTTGTTGGTAGTCTGCCTGTCTGCCCCACTTAAGAGTGTCACATCCATGAGGGCTTTTCTACCTGGTTTGCATCTGTGTTCCTGGCACATTGGAGGCTCTCAATAAAACAGTCTACTAAATAGCTGAGTCTGTTCTGGAGTGACAGCAAACAAAAACTATGTGCCTTCTCCCCACACAAATAGAGATAACTGTAAGATATCCATCAAAGACAATGGAGCCAGAGGCAGAGATAAGCAGTGTTCAGTGCCAGCATTGGGGACTGGAGGCTTTGTTTCCCTCATTGCCCCTGTGACAAGACACTCTGCTTGAGCTAACTCTAGTCAGTCTCCTCTCAGCTCTCTAGGCTTTGGTGGGCTTGCATTGCCCAGTTTCAGCAAGAATCCTGCAAAATCAGTTTAGAGAGAACCCTGCACCCCCACCCTCAATATCTGGTCAAATTCCTCATCTTCCACCCCTGGTGTCTGATCCTCCGGCTCGCTTTCAGCAAGAATCACAAGTCAGTTTAGCCAGAATCCCTCCTTAATCCTGATGTTTCCTCATAATAATTCCCATCCACTGAACCCCGCCTGGCTCATTGGCTATAAATCCCCACTTGTCCAAGCTGTATTCAGAGTTGAGCCCAGTTCTATAATGAGATATCCTTTTCCCTGTTGCAATTGTTCCTGAATACGATCTGTTTTTACCACTTTAATTGCTACCTGGCTCTGGTTTTTCTTTAACGCCTGCAGCAAACATTTACAGAACATCCACTGTGAAGCTCTGAATTGTGGGAACAACATTGTACAAGATGCAGCGCCTGCCTTCCAGGAATCCACAGTCCACTATGATGGTGTTCTCAAACTTAATTGACTGAGATGCAGAGTAAGAAATATATTTCACATCATAACCTGGGATGTGCCATTATATATATATATATATTCATGCACATATAAATGACTTCAAAAAGTTCATGGAAAGATGGAATTAAAAGATAATACGAATCCTTCCATGAACTTTCTGAAGACCCCTGTTATAAATATACAGATACATACATAAACACACACACATATACTCATAAATGCTGAGAGTTTTAGGGGAAAAAATGGTTACTGTTACAGTGTACGTGCATTTTGATATTTTCTATTCTGTTTAGTTTAATCTATTCTATCTCATTTTTAAAGTGTTGGGGTTTTTTTTGTTTTGTTTTGTTTTTTTGTCTTTTGTCTTTTTCCATGTCCGGCAACGGATCGCAACCCTCAGTGTTGCCCC